TTCCCCAAATACAAAACATGAATATTTACTGAAGATGTTTGACTTTTCTGCATTATTATTGATAATTCTACCATTTCCAGCTTGTAATTGACCAATTGACCATTATTGGGATTCTTTTTGTTTTACAAGCTGCTTCTCATTCTTCTTAATTCTGCTGGCCATAGAATTCTTCTCCTTTTGTTTCTTTGCTTTTCTTGTCAATGTCCTACAGTTCCTAACTTCTGATTTATATTCATTACCCTCAGCTTGTTCCCCCTTTCAAGTCTTTTTTGGTGTTCTTGTATTAATGGGGACAATAAAAAGAAAGTTAAGTGTGAGAAGAAAATAAAGAGAGAAACTTTTGTGAGAGGATTGCAAGTGTCATTATTTAAAGGAATAGGATCTCCAAAGAAAATGATTTTACAGTAATATTGTTTTCATTGTGCAATTCCATCATTTATATTTTTGCAATTTTCAATTTGATTGCCTATTTTTACTTGGCTTCTCAAATTAAATTGTATTTTTTTGTAGAATGGCAGAAAGAAAGCATAGGTCAGGGGCGAGACAAGTCTACAGAAACATCTAAGATAATATGTCCAGTCTAATATCAGGAGAGGTGACTGTTTGTAAAACTTTGCTGATGTAGTTTAAATGTTTAACTGATTGTGATAAAATTTCAAAAGTGTGTTTGACAAAGATTGTTAACTATCAAAGGCTCCAAGTTTTAATTCCTTTGGCTCTTGCAAGGGAAACCCAAACCCATAATTTGAGACTCAGTAATCAGATTCTGTCATGTACTAAGGTCTTTGTCATGCAGGAGAAAGGAAAAGGCTGTAAGGAAGCCACTTACGGCTTCTGTATTTTTAATCTGCCCCAGCCCTAGACTAATGGAGCAGTTGCAAGCTATGATGGACACAAATTGTACAAAACAGCTCAGACACAGCAAAGAGATCAGAACTTGAGCAAGGAGTCTAGCCCCAAATATTTAAAAGCAGATCAGAATAAGATTAGTGCATGGAAAACAGCATTTTATGTAACAAAGCTGCATCTTATGAGAATCAGAAATATGTTTATCTTGACTCTGAAGCTCTGTTTTTAATTTTCAAAGTGCCCTAAAAGAATTTCAAGGAAGGGTCAATCATTTGGAATGACTAATGATTCATTTTTCCAAAAATACATACTTACTGTTTACCTAAGAAGAACAAGCCCTTAAGCATTCAAGTTATTGGAGGTTTGAAATTTATTCTTGATAAATGGAATTATACCATTAGAGTATATCTCACTTGCAGCTCCACGAGAGAGATTTATTTATTTTTCTCAGGTCCAGCTAAGATATAATTAATTATATTTTTCTGAAGCTATTATAATATGTTTTCTGTTTTCTTCGTGACTTTTTGGCTATAATATGGTAGGCTGTTTCTTATGCCATCTTTTAAAACTGAGACATAAAATAAGGCACAGAAGATCTAAGGAAAGTAAGAAAGTTCTTTGATGCTAAGGGTTAGGGTTAGCAGGGATGGGTAATAAGGAGCTCATGGACTGGATGTGGTTCACCAAGGTTAGCCCCGATGGCCTCCAGATGCTTTATTTACCTGAGTGCCCATCACTCCTGCTTGCTTTGGTTCACCTTTGCTGGCCAAAGGGAGCTGCAGTAAACGGTGACTTGCCCATGCCGCTTCCTACAGCTCCCATTGGCTGAGAACAGCAATCCATGGCCAGTGGGAGGAGCGAGCAGTTGAACCTGTGACTGCTCAGGTAAATAAAGTGTCTGGTGGCCTGCCAAGGACTAAGCCTTGCAAACCAAGTCCAGTCCATGGGCCGCTTATTACCCACCTCTGTTCTAGAGCTTATTCAGTAGCTCACTTGACTGGGAGGCAGGAGATGTGAAGTCAAATAGCTCATCTGAATCAGGCAGAGAGAAGATTTGAATCATATTTCCGAGACATAAAGGAGAGTGCCTTACTGATCATGCTGTAGAATCACTGAGTCTCTGACTCTGACCCAGTAAATAATTGTGTCTTTATACAAAGTGGAACAACTTCAGAAAGAGCGCTTGAGAGCTATCTAGCCCAGAAGAGCCTGTAACCTGGTGGTTAAGTCACTTATCTAGGAGGAGGAGGGAACTCTAAGTTCAGAAGTGCCTTTTGCAGAGTGGGGATTCTAATGTGAATTTCCCACATCCCAGGCAAGTTCTTTAACCATAGCGCTAAAGCTTATGGTGGACCATCAGACACACACATGCACAGTTTTCTGAAGCTGACCAGATCTTTTGTGAGCAGTAGTGAATATTCAAGTACATAAGAGCCATCATTCTAGGCCAGAGCAGTGCTCCATCTTGCCTACTATCCTTCTGACAGTGGCTAGTATTAGGGTTGTAGAAGAGTAGTTGAATAGTCGATTACCTGATAAGCCTAGGGTCAGTGTAATCCTTAAGTCAGTTACATAACAGAGATTGTGAGTCTACAGATGTATAAAAACTTTCTAGAATCAATCTAAAAAGTTATAGTCCAATAGGCAGTCCGGGTATAGGGTCGGTTGAAGTCTTTCTATGCATTTGCCAGGTTATTCCAAAACAGTATTTGAAAGATCTCTACCTTATGAATTAGATTTTCCCTGTTCAAAATGTAAGCAGACTGCAGATGGCAGGATCGGGCCCGGGGCTTTCATCTATAGATCCTTAGGAAGTTGACAAGCCTTTTGTCACAGCAGGGCCCCTCCCCTACCCAGGAAGAATAGACCTTCTTGCCTTGAGGCTAATCTTCTCTTTCCTGTGTAAACACAGGTAAACTCATCACATACATTCACATGAGCCAGTTAGTTGGTATTTAATTAGAATAGAGATAATTAAGTTGAAGACAATAGAGGTATTAATTTCACACAGCATCTTACATTTTTTGATTTCCAGATTAACTGAACCATCCTTATGTATATTATAAAGCAGTTCCTTATCCATATTATAAAGCAGTTAAGCCATGAAAAGGCATTAGCATTTATAAAATGATCTGATTATGTTGTTAAACTTCTGACAAAAATAGATAAATACAGACAAATACACTTAGCATCTATCCTTGATTTCTGTTACTACAAACAAATGGGTTAATGAGTGCTGGTCTAGAGCATCTCTTTGAAGTTCTCATATTAGTAGAATGTCTTGATAACATTTCAGAGCCTCTTGTTAAGTTGTTATGGGTCATACCTAAGTTGACTAGTCTGTCATTGTCACCAGAGTGCACTCCAGAATTCCCAAAGGTGAAGGAATAAACATCATTTAAACTAACCTCAGACATGGCTGGAGAAATGTAAAAGTGAAACAGAAAGATTACATTTATTTCTCCTGCCCTACAAGATATGCATGCAAGTCAATACACTATCATATTCTCCCTTACAGTTAAAGGTTATATCACAGATTATATCCCAGTCTAAAATCATACTCCAATTTCACTCTGTGTAGAAACTAGTGTTGTGAATCATCATTAACTTAGTGATTATATTGCATAGATGGAGTACCTTAATAAAAAAGAGACCATTCTAAAGGATAGTTTTCAGTATGTTGAACTTAAGAATAAATATAGCATTAAATAAAAGTGGTTTCCTGGATCAGGATGTGGTGAGAGGAAAAAGAAAAGCAGGGCCACAAAGGTCTCTTTTGTACCCCTTCACCCTGCCACCGCCAGCCAGTATGAGCATTCTGTATTTTGTGCTTTGAATGAACCATCCCTCCCTGTTCTATGACTGGCCAATGAGGGAAATGAATGATGGGAAAAATAGCTGAACTTCCAGAAGGGTTATTGGAACCTAAGTTAAGAGAGACCGAGAATCCTAATCACCCAGGCCTTGGAGCTTACTTCCAATTTCTAAAATTAAATAATTGAATGTAAAGCATAGTTAAAGGTACAACTAGATGTCTAACACATATAATATTGCATAGTTGGTTAGGGGATGAGATGTGTTTTCTCCTACAGTATATGTATAAAATAAAGACAGTTTTGTTTTGCAATTTTATATAAGTGGGTTTCTGGAATGTTTGATTTAATTATCTGTATATTGTCATTAGCTAAAATTAAATTTTTTCCTCGTAGGTTACCAGAATTGAATTGTTTTAAACGTTGTTGTTTTTTCTTTTCTGTTATTAAAGATGAGCTGACTAGTATCCTTAAAAAATTGTCACTTGAGAAATATCAGCCTATTTTTGAAGAACAGGAGGTAAGGTGTTTTTAAAAAAAACTTTTAAGTGTTTCAGTATTTTATTTCAATTTTTTAGCATGTATCATCTCTTTATCTGTATGAAACCTGTATTTTATTATCCAAATGAAATTGGGGCTCTGAGTTCATTACAGCTGTGCAGTTTCCAGTACAATTTACTCTACTGCAGAATTGTAATCTCAAATCTTAATTTTCATTGGAAAAAAAAAGACATGGATTCTTGCTAATATATCTGGTTGCAGCAATAATCAGAAAGATGTGAACCAAACATTAACAGATACAATGATGAGTCTGCATAATAAGGGAGACCGAATGAAACAGCAAATCTGAGGTGTGTGAGCTGCTTCCTTTATCTCAGTTAGATCTCCCTAAATTCTGCCAGTCTGTGGCATGTGCCATTTTTCCTGAATGCCATAAAATTCAACATGTTTGTCATGGAATGTACAAAAAACAGCTGATCTTCTAGAAAGGTTATTGGAACCTAAGTTAAAAGAGACAGAGAAACCCTAATCACCCAGGCCTTGGAGCTTACTTCCAATTTCTAAAATTAAATAATTGAATGTAAAGCATAGTTAAAAGTACAACTAGATGTTTAACACATATAATGTTGCATAGTTGGTTAGGGGATGCGATGTGTTTTCTCCTACAGTATATGTATAAAATAAAGACAGTTTTGTTTTGCAATTTTATATAAGTGGGTTTCTGGAATGTTTGATTTAATTATCTGTATATTGTCATTAGCTAAAATTCAATTTTTTCCCCATAGGTTACCAGAATTGAATTGTTTTAAACATTGTTGTTTTTTCTTTTCTGTTATTAAAGATGAGCTGACTAGTATCCTTAAAAAATTGTCACTTGAGAAATATCAGCCTATTTTTGAAGAACAGGAGGTAAGTTGTTTTTTAAAAAAACTTAAATATCAGCCTATTTTTGAAGAACAGGAGGTAAGGTGTTTTTAAAAAAAACTTTTAAGTGTTTCAGTATTTTATTTCAATTTTTTAGCATGTATCATCTCTTTATCTGTATGAAACCTGTATTTTATTATCCAAATGAAATTGGGGCTCTGAGTTCATTACAGCTGTGCAGTTTCCAGTACAATTTACTCTACTGCAGAATTGTAATCTCAAATCTTAATTTTCATTGGAAAAAAAAAGACATGGATTCTTGCTAATATATCTGGTTGCAGCAATAATCAGAAAGATGTGAACCAAACATTAACAGATACAATGATGAGTCTGCATAATAAGGGAGACCGAATGAAACAGCAAATCTGAGGTGTGTGAGCTGCTTCCTTTATCTCAGTTAGATCTCCCTAAATTCTGCCAGTCTGTGGCATGTGCCATTTTTCCTGAATGCCATAAAATTCAACATGTTTGTCATGGAATGTACAAAAAACAGCTGAACTTCCAGAAAGGTTATTGGAACCTAAGTTAAAAGAGACAGAGAAACCCTAATCACCCAGGCCTTGGAGCTTACTTCCAATTTCTATAATTAAATAATTGCATGTAAAGCATAGTTAAAGGTACGACTAGATGTCTAACACGTACAATTTTGCATAGCAGGTCATGGGAGTGAGATGTGTTTTCTCCTACAGTATATGTATAAAATAAAGACAATTTTGTTTTGCAATGTTATATAAGTGGGTTTCTGGAATGATGAACAAACTAAATGTCCAACTTTTTTTTTTTTCCCTGCCCTGCTGGTACCTGACAGTAATTCTCTCTTCCTATATATCTGTGCACGCAATGGTGTTAATTGGACTACTTTCTGTACTCTTCTACACTGTTTCATGAAGCCAAAGATGGAATCCAGTTTATAACCGAAGTGGGTGGAGCCAGTAGTGTGGAGAGGATAGTGCTTGGCCCCAGGATCAGGGCCGGGGACAGGACACTGCGGCCAGATAGGGGCTGGGCCCCAATTGGGGCCTTGTTGTCAGGCTTCATTTTTAAATAAAGTAAAATATTATGTCCAGCACAAAATATTTTCAGCATTATCTTTATTAATGGCTGGGGTAGGGAACCATTTTTTCTGATCCACAGAAAAATCAGTTGGGGACCACAGAAGTGAGAATGGAAAAAAAAGCCTTTCCTAAACCTTCCAACCCTCAGTGATGTGGCCTCCAACTGAAACACCACACTTCCCTGGTGCTTCAGCCTCGGCAGGGTGGGGTGGGGCGGGAAGCCTGAAGTTCAAGGCTTCAGGCCAGATTAACACTTCTGTGATTCCAGGGTTAGTGGATTTTGTGGGCCCCCCGCAGCCTCTGGAGTGGGACCAAAAATGAGGGGTTCAGTATATGGGACAGGGCTTCCAGTGAGTGGGATAGGGATGGGAGTGCAGAATCTGGGCAGGAGATGGGTGCAGAAGGGGCAGAGAGTGCAGGGTCTGGCTGGAAGGTAGGGGCAAGATGTCTGGCTGGAAGGGGGCTGGAATGGGCTGGGGGCAGGATGTCTGGCCAGGGCAAGGGGGCAAGAGTGGGTTGGAGTGACAGGTTGTGTCTGGCTGGGGGGTTGAGTGAGGGGATGGGGGGTCGGGTCTGGGCATGAGGGAGTGGGAGGTACTTACTTGTCTTTGAGCCCCATGCTGCTCCCAGGCTCGGCTTCCCACTGCTCCCATTAGCGAGAATTTGGCCAATGGGAGCACAGGGAAAGGCTCCAGATAGCACACTCGCGCACTGCTGTTCCCCCAGCCTGGGAGGGGGAGCGTCTCTTCCCTGCACAGCGAGGCTCGGGCTTTCTCTCTCCTCCAGCTGACCCTGGCAGCAGAAAGCCAGGGCTAGTGCTCCAACCTTCTTACTTGACTAGGCTACAGTGCCAGGCAAAGGGGGCCCGGACCGTTCAGGTCAGTGCTGCTGGGCATCTCCTCGCCTGCCTTACAGAAGTGACACTCGCTGCTGCAGCCCTGTGTGTGGCTGGGGGGGGCAGGAGGAAGGCAGCCACAAGCTGGGCTTGGGTCTCACTGAAGCAGCTTGGCGCTGGGCTGAGGGTGCAGCCACTTGAGGCATAGCGGAGGATGGGGTGGCGGGCGGCCAGGAACGCGGGACGCCTTGCCCTGCACCTACCACTGCTCCTGGGCCTACTGGCCCAGCAGCCCATGGGTGCCAAGAACAACAGTGGCATAAGCAAGCAGCCCTAGAGCAAGTCGTTCCATCCCCGAACAGTGTTCGGGCCAGGAGACCCATGGGAGGGCCGAGCCTGTGGGACACCAGAGTGATGTGATGACATCACTCTGTCATCCCACAGGAAAAGCTTTTTTATAGAGAGAGAGAGAGATTACCTCACCTGTCTTCTCTCTCCAATATCCTGGGAACAACTTAACTCTAATACCACTGCAACCAAAATTTTATTGTGTCAGCCGTGGGTGTTCAGCTATGTGCACCCTAAAAATAAGTTATTGTGAGAAATGCAAAAAAATACTGTACATACATTTCTCTCCAAGGCCATAATTCTATAAATTTCATTTACAAATTGCACTTCCATATGCATTTAAGTTTGCACACATGAATAGGCCCACTGAAAGGGACTATTCATGTGCATAAAGGCAATAATGTATTTTCAGGGTCAGTGCCCAAAAATGTAAGTAAATTTTTTGGGCATTATATTTTGCAGAGAGAGTCTGGAGTTAAAGAAAGAAAACAGATAGGTATGAGAGAACTATGTGGCATTTGGGGTTTGTGGAATGTCATTTTCTGTCTTTTAAACCTGTTTTTTTCTCCTAGGGAAATTATTGTGTTTGGTTTATCCAATTATTTAATGAAAACGAAAGCTGTGCTCTGCAAATCTGAGAATGAAGCGATAAATAGGAAAAACAGCACCAGTGCTTCAAAAATTCATAGAAGAAAGAGTATTAATTATAAAATATGCATATGCTGTTTATGTGGAGGTCATATCAATGTGAAAAATGGAAAACACTCATTCTTTCACATGCTTATGAATGCATCAGTTAACTGTATTCCATTTCTCTGGAGCTTTTGCTGACAATTCCATACTCCTTAGCAACGCTAAAGAGCTTCTCTTTTTCTTAAGTCTCCTCCAAGAGAATTATTTCCTTGTACCCCAATGTCTCAAAGTCTATGTCTACACTGCGGAGCTTTTCCAGGATACCAAAAATATCCTGGAAGCACTCTGCCGTGTCCAAAGAACACTTCTGCTTTATTGGAACAGTTTCCAAAAAAGCAGATATGTTCTTTCAGCATTTCTGTATTCCTCATTTTATGAGGAATAAGGGATATTCTGAAAGAGGAGGTTTTTCTGACATTTGGCCCCGTATAGATGGGCCAAATGTTGAAAAAACCTCTCCCGGAAAAAAAAGTGGAAATAGATATACAAATTGCGCTTCACAATTTTTCCAAAAAAAACCCCTGCAGTGTAGGCATAGCCAAAATGTGTAGTTGTCCCCAAAATTACCTACTTCAAAAACTGGGATTGGCAAAATTTAATCATGGGCCACTAGCAGCTTTTGGATATATAAAAATGGCATAATTTTGAAATCCAGCATTTCATCAACAAAGAGGACTGGAAATGAGAATTTTGCCAGTGAGACCTATGAGGGGCCGATATAATGGATTTTTAAGTTGTGTTGCTTTTGTGGTTAGTTTTTCTATTTTAGTTCATTTTAGGAAGTATTTGTTACCTTTAGTGTTTTTCTTTTTGAATCCTGGACAGTTTGATACATGATTACCAAGACGCATGTCTTTATGTGTTGAAGGATGCAAGACGTAGTCCCAATTAAAACACAGTACAAATTCCTAAAATATGTTTTTCTGTAATACGTATGTATAGACTACATGATGGTAACATATAGTCTAAATGTTAGTAGCATCTCACTGTTGTAGTAGCATCTTACTGTAAAAATGAGATTGATAGGTGAGAGAGTGATTGAGAGAGATAAGGAGATGATGTCACCAGATATGATCGCCTACAGGACACAATGTGGTATCTGATGTGATGTTTTGTCCTAAACCATTCCCCTAATCTGGGGTCTAACCCAGTACCTTCTGTTGTACGATACTTAATTGGAAGGCCTGCCATAGGAAGGGAGCAAAACTACCAGTGAAACCAGGCTTTGGTTTATGGCCTAGAATTGATAAATCAGTGACTAATTAATGGTGCCACCTCAAGAAATTATGACACAAAATAGATAAAAGCAAGAAGGCAACTAAAATATAAAAAGAGAAGTGTTTTAAGGTAAATGCATAAAGACCTCTGAAAGAAAAATAGACATTTGTAAATGTAATTGTTAAATACGAAAGCCCCCCTATATTTTCCCCCCTTTGATCTGTGGCTTCAAAGAGTAGAACAGGCTTTAACAATAACTATAATATCCTCGTGAGTCTGGTAGGTCATGTGTTCTGCACGCCCTACCCTTAAAAAGCAGGTTTAATTCAATTTACTCAATGGCACCCAATGTAGCAGGGCAAAGCCAAGATGAAAGTTGTGAGATCCTGGATACCAGACCTATATTCAGGCCACTAAATTATCTGATTCATTTACATAGACCTATCTAGAGATTAATATTATCATGGTCAGTAGAATGAGGAAAAGAAAACTGTTAAACAGTGTTAACAGGGATGAGTTTTGCCTTGACACATCTTTTAGCTGCTTTTTTTTTTTTTTTTTTTTTTTTGTACAGGCAACTTAACATAGAGTATAAGAGGTGCTAGCAGACTAGGGAAATCAATAGCTTGTATAGAGAAGCTTAGATGTTTCTAGCCTCCATATAGATATATGGATATATTTGAGCAAGAACCAATCTAAACAGTAAATGTATACTTATGTATCTTTTTTTTAAAGGTGGATATGGAGGCCTTCCTCACACTTACTGATGGTGATTTAAAAGAGCTGGGTATTAAGACTGATGGATCTAGGCAGCAAATTCTGGCAGCTATTTCTGAATTGAATGCAGGAAAGGTATGGTTTGAAATAAGGAAAATGATAAACTAGTTTTTCAGATTTCCTTTTATTTCAGATCCAAACAATAGATGCTGAAAACAATACAGTTTTATAAACAAGATATTTAATGCAAATTATTGGAGATAAACAATACTATCTTTCTTTGGGCCGCCTCCATTAATTTCTTCCATGTTCAGTAACTAGACAGTTATTCACTATTTGTAATCATTAATTTATACTAATAAAAAGTAACTAGTGGTGACTTAAGTATTAATCATATTATAGATCTTTGGCTTTCAACATTTATGATGTTAAGAAAAAGATATGATTTATCCTTATGTAGACTAAAGCTCTGCCTATTAGCTCTTTGGTCTTTCACCTATCATTTTTCTCAGGAATCAGTTTCGTTGTCTTCTCATTTGATATTTACAGTTAGATGGAAATAAGGAGAAAGGCAGAGAAATGAGAATACTTTGCAATGGATTTCTTTAGTCACAGAAAGCTGGTGCATCTCTGCAGCTAACTCTTATGGCTTTTCTCAAGTCTTTCAGATCCAATTTCTATTCTGTCTTGGATCTTTTATACCGGTTTAGGCATATAGGACACAAGATGTTTAATCATGTCTCACTCATTATGAAAACACCATTTGTAGTTCTTTTATAAGAGTGTTCATTGGCTGTATACACCTTATGTAAATACTTACTGTGCCAGTAGATGGTTTTCCACAATATGTAGCCTAGTTTGTTGGTTTTTCATGATAATAAAATTTGTTGTTACATACTGTACATTATTTTCTTTGTGCAGGTCTTACATCAGCTCTCACTAGGTTCTGTATTTCAGGCTGAATTGTGTCTTGCCCTTAAAGTGAGGACATAGCATCATTGTTATATGTTAAGAATATAGCATGTCCTGTCTAAAGTTACAACACTTTTTTTTTTTTTTGGATACAGAATGGATTTTCTGAGAATTCACAAGTAAATCTATAAAGTTTTGGAATGATCTTTCCAGTTCATATATTTCTACAACTTCTTAAAAAGAGCAAATTCTGGAGAAAATCTGTCGGTTTTAGCCCTTTTTGAAAAGCAGTTACAAACCTCCCAGCTTTCTCTGAATGTCCTTCACTATGCATAAGAGACATTTATTGTATCTGTTAGAATCAGAGATTAGAGGAATAAATGCCATTTTTTAAAAAATCTGAGCTGTTAGGTAGGGATGTTAAATGGAGTTTAATCAGCTAATTGATTAGTCAGTAGAATTTTCATTGACTAGTTGATAAGGCTGGAGGAGAACTGCAGAGCTGTAGAGGGGTTAGCTCCCAGATCCAGGAGCTAACCCTGCTGCGACTCTGCCTTTTAAATGTATTAAGAGCTGTTAGGCTCTTAATACATTTAAAAGACTGAAGAGCAGGGGGGAGTACCAAGCTCTATGTTTGCAGGGCATAATTTTTGTTATGTTAAACTCATTACACTTTCAATATGATTTCCAGGATAGACACACACATTTTCATATTTGTTTTTAACCCTTAGAAAATGCATTATTGAATGAGAAATTTAAGAATGCCTTTTTTTTGTTTGTTTAAATCGATTTCTTTTACAGGGACGAGAGAGACAGATTTTACAGGAAACCATACACAATTTCCATTCTTCCTTTGAGAGCAGTGTTAGTAATACAAGATCTCCTGGCATTTCTCAGTGTAAGTGTTATTCATATGTTGTCAGATCTACTTCATCCAATTATTCTTAAATCAGGGTAAAGCACAGACTGTGCAAACACGATAGTTAATAATGTGTTTGTTTAAAGATTCCTGCATTTCTGTCACTTTCCGATCTTAGTGGAGATTTCAAAGTAAAAAGACAGAGAATTTGTAAGATTTTTGCATAGGGAGAGTATTTATGAGTTTCTAACACGTTAATATGTGTTTGTTTAATTCAAAACTTTAAAAATTGATTATGTATTGCATATTACAATGGGGAATATTTTACATATGAAGTAGATCTCAATCACAGAATGAGATAGCTAGGCTTGTTCCTTGTCTATCCTTAGAATCAGACTAATTTCTTGCCTGTTATGGTCACCAAGTAGGCTAGTTAGTGGAGTCATGGCTACTGGACATATGCTGCATTTTTGCAGTACATGGACATCAATGCTGAGACCTACCTATTACATTCTGGATGGAAAGAAGAGTGGATCATTTGGACATTGCAGCTATGTCTACACTACCTTTTTTTTCCCCCTCAGGAGAAGATAAGCAAATCGTGCTCTCCTTTTTGCAGAAGAGGTTTTGCCGCTAAAAAGCCCCGTGTAGACGGGGTCATTTGTTGGAAAAAAACCCTTTTTCGCAAGATCCCTTATTCCTCAAAAAATTAGGTTTACAGGATTTTGCAAAAAAGGTCTTTTTTCTGACAAATGGCCCCGTCTACATGGGGCTTTTTAGTGGCAAAACCTCTTGTACAAAAAGGATCCGCAGAAGATATGCAAATGAGAGCATGATTTGCATATCTTCTGCTGAAAAATAATGGCTGTGTAGACATAGCCCAAGAGTCAATGTCTCCAAGCCCCACAGAGACTCTGTTTTCAGTACACTGAATTCATGGTTACAGAAACTTTTGGAAGACTAACAATTACTTCACTTCAATTCAAGGTTAACTGGCCTTACTCATTTGGGGGTGTTTATGATGTTATAGCAGCTCTCTCATTCTTCTATGACTACAGTCTGAAAATGCCAGAGATTTTATGGCAGATTTCAGGTGGAGAGCTGTTCCAAGCTGTAGATTCACAAATGTAGGGAAGGGAATCAATTATTGATTATATGGCTAATTGAATGCAACACAAAACAGATTTGGGGAGGCAAGGCAGGTTGTTCCACCTGTTGCTGTTTAATGGGTTTTTGGAAATATAAACTCAATTGCTGACTGATTGTGTCCTCAGCCACCCTGTGCAATACTTCCTGCTAAGGTTACGGCTTCTGGCAAATATATGTGACATTCACTACAAGAACCTTTGGAAAAGTTGATGTGTATATTATGTTTTTGACAGCCAACCTGATTCATAATAATGTTTATTGTTGAAAGAAAGATTTTTATGTGCTTCAGTTATGTCATCTCTCTATGAAAACATTGCGTCCTGGAACCTAGCTCACCACACCACACCACACCACAGAGAAACATACATTAACTTACACCTTTACCTTTAAAATTCAGAACATAGGACCAACCTATGGAGGCCCAAGTAAGAAGATGCTCTGAGGGGGCAATAGAATAATTTGTCTCTATTAACACTCTAACTTCACTGTAGCACCCCAAAATCTAAGTATCAGAAGGCCTGGCTCCCCTAACAGGCAAAGGATATAAGGCTAAATAAAGTCATTTAACTACTAAAGCAGATATCAAAGATTAGATTTGCCATATGAATTCCCAGAACCGAGGGCTGATTTATTCTCCCAGATTTCTGCAATCAAAGAGGAAATGAGGATTGAATTTCTAGGCTGGATGTTGCGTTGGGAGAAATAACAGAGAAAAGAGAAAACTGCTTCTTCATTGTGTAAATTTGCTGGACCCAAAAGAGAGAGAAAGTTCCATGAGAGTTAAAGAAGCATCTGAAAAAGTTGAGGAAGGAAATCTTATTCTCTTTTTACAAACCTGGATGAATTACTTGTTAAAATTCATGTTTGTGAAAGAGATGAAAGTAGATTTACCCCACTGTGGGCTGGTAACTGATCCAGGCATTTCATTATGAACTTTTGCCATTACCAAAAAAGAGTTTATTGTGAAAAAAGGCTAGAGAGCACTCCGAGTCTTTACTCCAACTCCACAATCTTCAGTATCTCCTAGATCTTCTGCTCTAACATTTAAAAAGAGAAGGGAATTGAGTAAAATTAAAGCAGCAATTTCCTTGCAGCCTCTAGCATTAGATTTTCACAGTGAGAGTCTCTAAGGAAGGGAAAACCACACTCCGGATATAGATCCAAAGCTCTATCATGCAGAAAAAGTCTCTGGGAGCAACTGTTGAAGAGCTGGTGAAAAAATAATGGCAGACATTGAAACTAAAGTAAAGGTGAGTGAGAGAAGGAAAGAAGGCCCTTCTCTAATAGAAGTGGAGTCAAGGGACTTAGATACCCGAAGAATAATTGAAGATCGACTAAAAAAGATTTAAATGAAAGGTTGAACATTCACTATGATTATGGTGAAAAGGAAAGATTGTGAAGTTCAGTTTAATTGTGGTAACCAATTAGCAGTAACTGTTTCCCCCCCGCCCTCTTTCTTTGGCTAGGACTAAAATGCAAGGGTAAGTTGGAAAAATAAATGCAATTTGCAGTACGTAAATTTCATATCTTTTACTGTTGAAAGAAGCTTTTCCAAAATTTGGCGCATCTATATGGCACCGAATTTCGGAAAAAAGTGCTCTTTAGTCACATCCCTTATTCCTCGTAAAACGAGGTTTACAGGAATGGCGAAAG